ACTTTTAATTTAAAAAATTATTTTATATACATAACATCTTATTATTCATCAATATTACATTATTACAATATAACTTGGTTAGTTCATGCCTTTTTTTATAAAAATCCCATTTATTTATTTTTACCATTACCATTATGTAAATTTGATTGACAAATTGTCTCAAAAAATTTGATTAATAAATTAAAAGGAATTACCTGATCAACAAAAGGCCAAATTTTGGTGAGATGGGAATTAAGCCAATTCAACTGCAAATCACAACCATAAAAAAAAATAGATAAATATATATATATATATATATATATATATATATATATATATATATATATATATAATAAATTTAAAAAAAAAAAAAGGAGTAAAGTCGGCAACTAAAAAACCATCGTTTAAAAACTAATAAATGAAAATAAATTGAAATTGAAAGTAAAAGTAAAAGAGAGGAAAAATAAGGACCTTTTGACGATTGGAGAAGACAACCCAAGAAGGGTAGAAAGGAGGAGGAAGCAACTTTCTAGAATCTTCCACTGTCATTCTAGAAAACGCAGCAATTGTTTCTGCCTACAAAAAAAATTCCCACAAAAATTAAGATTACCCATCAAAAATTCAATGAAAAATTATGGAATTCAATTTAATTTTTAAAAATTATTAAACAAAAAAAAAAAGTACCAGTTGAGAACGAGATTTGGATCTGGCATTTTCACAGCGAACAAAAGCGACGATAATTAAGAGACCAAGAACAGTTCCCATGAATAATCCCATGAAAAAAGACATCTTTTCTACAATTTTAGAATCAAAACTCCTACTTTAAAGCTCACTGTATTTAATATTCTAAATTTATTGATATTTTCTGCTAAAAATTGACGAATTTTTGCTGAAGCTTTCTGGGTAATTTGAGAACTGCTGCTGCAATTTTTTTTTTTTTTTTTTTTTTTTTTTTTTTTGCAGTCGCAGAGAGAAAACAATGGTGGGTTGTCTGATTAAAATTTTGAAAAAAAAAATAAAAATAATTTTTTGTTTTAGGTTTTAGAGGAAGTTGAAAAGAATTAAGAAATGGAGTGAATTTGACTAAAAAGAGTGTGATTTGATTTGTTGGGAGGAGTGTTTATACCTTCCAATCAAATATTTTTATTTTTTGACACAAAATATTTTTATTAAAGAGTTGTTTAACTATAACGCTTCATGTCTTAAAGTTGTTGCCGACATTTTTAAAAACTTTATACTCCGTACTCCCTATTTAGCATTTTGATATTGGAATTTAATTTCCATATTAATTTGTATGGAATTATTCAATTATTCTGTATATATGTAAGGCTTTGTTTTGATCAGATTATTTTCATTTCAATTCAACTCTAATAAGCTCACTTCACTTGTTTCAAAAAAAAAAAAAAAGTTCACTTCACTTTAGCTCTAATAAGTTCTGTTCAGTTCAGTTCAGCTCTAATAAGTTCAGTTTAGCTCAGTTTCTAATTTTCTTCTCTCATAAAATATTCATTTCAGCTTAGTTCAGTTCATTTCAATTTAGTTCAGCTCTAATAAGTTCAGTTCAGTTCAGCTCAGTTTAGTCAATGAGAATAGGCCCTAAATCAAATTTTTAAAAATTGCTTAAAGTTGTTTGGTAAATAGAAAGGGAGTTGTAAATTATGGGAATTTTGACTGAATTGGGTAATTAATTTCTTATGTTTTGTGAAAACCAAAAAGTCACAATTCACACATTTATACTCACTCTGTCCCTAATTATTTGCTCCACTTTCCTTTTAAGGGTGTCCCCAAAAGATTGCCTCATACTACTTTTGCATGTTTTCCCACTTGCACTCTCTTTATCTCTCTCCTCGTTAATATTTGTGTCAACCCATGTGCACCATTTTTTGCCCAAAGCCTTAATAAAGTGGATTTATGGTTTGGGGTAAACAATTGGGGACGAAGGGAGTACTTTTTATTGTCAATCAAACAAGGATTTGTTCTCTTCAACTTATTTCAGGTACTTGTTATTACTTACTTCCTCTGTTCTTTTTTACTTGACCCGCTTTGACTTTTACATTATTCACCACCCCTCCTTTGACCATCTTTTGTGAATAATATATAAGGAAAAACATATTCATGTTGGATCTTTAATGAATTTGTTTACCTAATTACTTTCATAATATTTAACTTTTATATTATTTAGTTATGGAGAATTAAAGTTATTGATAGTTAAAGTTTTGTATTGGCAAGTATGATAAAAGAAACATGTCAAAAAATTCTGATCAGACCAGATCAGATCAGAACTTTTAATTATCATTTTCTTATTGCTAAATATCGTTAATTGCGTAGTACAAAAAATTATGAAAATTACATATTTAAAAAATTCATAATGAGACGAATCTAACAAGATCCATTTTGATGATGTTTTTATTTATATATTAGTATTAAAATGCGGTCAAAATATAGTCAAATTATTTTATCAGATCAGATAATAAAAATTCAGATCATACCTTTATCAAAATCAGACCTGATCTCCTTGTTTTCAGGTGAAGAGAACAAGGTTTTTGTCCCAACTCATCCATTTTCAAATTCTCATGATTTTTCACTTCTATCATTCTCTTTGTGCAATCAAACAAGCCCTTTAAAAGTTACAGGGAGTACCATATTAACACACACATGATGTAAAGAAAATGATGTTGAAATTTAGTGTTTGTTTGGTTGGAAAATATCTCCCTTGGAAATGGAAATTTCTAGGCACTAGTATTAGCCGTAGAAAGAATAGTACAAATCAAAGTATGGACTCTTAGAGTTTGTTCTATTTTGCTTAATTTTAGTTCAGTTCAAATTTTAGCTCAGTTTCTAATTTCCTTCTCTCATAAACAATTCATTTCAGTTCATTTTAGTAAATGAGAACAAACTCTTATAGGTTATAAGACGTTCCAATATTTATGTGATAGTAACAATCTTATCAATTAGCTAAATGATACCATGAGAGGAGTTAATTGTAAATTATTCACTAAAGCCCTTTACATTATATAGATTAGCCTAATTAAGTATGTGCACAAATTAATCTAACTTAGGAAAAATAATAATAATCTTAGTTAGACAATTTTGTTCGCAAAATCTCAACCAATCAAAACAGCATGTCACAAGACAGGGACAATGACACGGGTTAGAAGACTCAGGAAATAAAACACAAAGCTCGTTGCTAAATGCACCAACAATCTGTTTGGCTGAGTCTTGGGCCAGGAAAAACAACTTCCCCTTCTCCATGTCCTCCGGATTATACTCCGGCGAAAACAAAATCCGTAACCGATCAAAACCAGGCAGCGAGCTTCAATTTCATGATTTTCATCGTTTTCGTTAACAAATCTTTGATACCGCTCGTATCCCTTCAAAGAATGAATTTCTTCATCATAATTATCATTCAAATACACCTCGGCAATAACTGGACCATTTATTTTGAGTTCTTCCTTGATCTCATCAAACTTGTGCAGGTCCTCGCTCCGCAATTTTCTTGTCTTCAACCCTGAAAAAGTCAATATAATCCCGCCCATGCAAGAATAATCGTCTGGCGTTAAACATGGCCTTTCAATCAGTCTTATATGACTTGTCTAACATGACCCCTGTAAACACAAACTTTAAATCTGCAAAATATAGATTCAAAGTAAATGAAACAAAGTGTTAATTTTATTAATATGATAATGCTGGGTACAATCTCTAATTTTGTCCTCTGATTCGATCTTCACTTTGACTTTGACGTAATTCACGAATTGACTTGATTCTCGAAAGAGGGCCGTCGAGGCTTGATCTCGATCGAAGATTTGATGCAGAACTTGGACTTTGGTGCTTGTTTGAGGGCTGACGAGGCTTGATATCTGTTAATGACTATTTGATGTAGAGGTTTGAACCGATGATGTTCTCGATGTTTCAAAGTTCTTCTTTTGTCGTGTTGAGGGTCGTCGAGGCTTGATCTCTTCCATGGGTGATCTTTTAAAGTAGAACGACACGTCGAATGCTTGTTGTTCTTCTAGGTCTGAGAGGTTTTCTAGAGAGGTTTAGAGTATTTGATGAGAGGTTTTGAATATATGAGAGGTTTTCTATGTATTTTGATCTCCTTGTTTCCTCTAGGTTTTTCCCCTTCTCAAATGAACTATAGAGAGTTCTATTTATAGAGTGAATGACTCTAATTAGGATTTCGAAGTGACTATTAAATGGGCCTCATATCCATTTCCACCTTATTTTATGAATAACCCATTTAAATTATAATTAAATCCAATTTGATGGACTTTATTAATAACTAAATGAGTCTAACTAAAATAAATAACATGGCCAAAATAAGCCATATTAATTATTTAGTCAATATACACGAGTCAACTGTTTGACTTTGACTCGAATAATATGAAACAATACTTGATAAAATTTTCGTGCCTACAACCCCATCATGTCTCAAATTATTCAACACCACAGAGGCATTAAGCGGGTCTGTTTTAGCCTCTTAGGTCAACCCCATCATGTCGCTGATGGATCGAAAGCCTTGGAAACCAACATGTCGTAATTGCTTCCTCGCCTTCAAGTCACGCCGAAAGGAGAGGAACGGCCTCTTATATAGGCGAAAAGGCGAAACCTTCTCTGAAATAAAGACAGTCAAAATTTAGTCTCTTAGGTTATACTGCAAAATTAATACAACAAACTACAGTAATGTGTTTGGTACTAATACAGTAATACTTATAAGCAATAATACTAGTTTTGTACTGTTAAAAAAAATTGAACGAAGCTGATAGGTAACAAATAGAGAAAGAAACAAAAATTTTACACATGTATAAGATGGTCAGGCTAAAGCTATAGTTACATGTAAGCCCAGCCCAAGACCCAGCTTTAACAATAAATCAAGGCATTCTTTTTGCTTCATCTTTTGGATTGAGGTATAAACATGATGAAATAGATTGCCACTATTATGTGAGACTGTGAGAGATATGATTAACTATATTAAGGCAGGCACTCTTCTTACTCATCATGTTGTTTCGAATTATTTATTAATTATTTATTACAGGTGTTTGGGATTTTCCCACTAAACAAATATACCCTTTTTTTAGGGGAAAACAAACATACCCTTGGTGTAAACTAAGTAGTCCGTATAATTCCCTTAAAAAAAACAATCGAGAAATTGCGTTTTCTGCGAAAATCGTCAAGAGAAGAGAATTGTTTATGGCAATGGCTGATGAAAGCCGCGAGAATAGCAGTGAGGTCAAGTTAAATTTCATTGAGATTATTTTGAGGTGAAAATTTGTATCCCTAATTGTTTTTCGATTTTCAATTCTTATATTCATATTCATATGATTATATTTTTCTCCTTTTTCCTTTTCAGCGACCTATGCGAAGCATTGATGGAAACCCCTGAAAGCGAAAAATACCTAATTGCGACTCTCAAGAGGTTCTTCTTTTCCTTTGAATCTTTGCTCTTACTTCCTGCTGTTATCAATTATTTATACTACTACCTCCGTTACAGGTATGTGCAACGATTAGACATTTTCCTTCTCTGCTTTATGTCAAATCGTTGCACATAACCTGAAACGAAGGTAGTACCATGTATGTATGTATGTATCTGACCATTTGTTTGGGTGAATTGCATTCTAGTATGAGCCCTAAGGCAAAGAAGGAGTACCTGAACATAAAAAAGGATTTTATTAAGAAACCCTCCAAGGCTCCATCATCTCACCATCACTCCTCTCCTTCTCCATCTTCCAGAAAGTCCTTGGTTTCGCGTCTTTTACTACTAGCCAAAAACATCACGTCTCAGTATAACAATACCACCAACGACTTTAAACTCATTCACCTTGTTGTAACCACTATCTTGGAAGCACTATTGGCTACACACTATGGGAAAACATCCTTTCATAGTTGTCTCCAAGGGTACGGTGACCCCTTCTTTTAATTCTACTACTCCGTTACAGGTTATGTGCAACGATTTGACATTTGCACATAACCTGTAACGGAGGTAGTATTTTGAATTTCATTATTAATTAATTGGTACAACCTCAATCATTTGATTTGTTATGCTCCCCTCTAGTTTTTGCCAGTCAGGCTACCTTGACCTCGAAGGAGCAACCAATACTGATACTGATACCGATACCAGAACAAGAAAGACTTATGACCGTGGTACCCCTAAAGATTTACCTCCAATAGGGGATCACCTTACCAAGGCCCAGATTATCAACAGGTGCGACAACAGCACCATACTTATGTACATTGGTCTATCATACTCCAATGAAGTTACGTGTTTATATACTAATTGGTTTTCCTTGTTTTGAATATAATACGCCTATGAAGTTTGATTTGGGAAGACTTGATGAATAAACGACAAGGCGAAGAAGTCTTTATACTAAGGAAAACTATTGTGGCTGAGTTTATCAACAGCCGGGGCAACAACATCGACGTTGCCGATCTCGTTTGCAGGTAATTTAGTTATTTTGGTTTGTTGAGCTTTTGTTTATTTGTTCTATTATTATACACACACACATGTACTTCCTCTGTTCTTTTTTACTTGACCTGTTTCTTTTATCACGCTTGTCAATGCAAAACTTTAGCGATTAATAACTTTAATTCTTCATAAATAAAAATTATAAAATTTGTATATTACGATAGTCTTTATTAAGACGATTTAAAATAGATATCATATGAATATATTTTTCCTTACATATCATTCACAAAAGACGGTCAAAGGAGAGGTGGTGAATAGTGTAAAAGTCAAAGCGGGTCAAGTAAAAAAGAACGGAGGAAGTACATTGATTTTCTTTGTATTGGTGTGTCATACTCCAATGAAGCTATGTATATTTAATAATTGTTTCTTTTTTTTTTTTTTACTTTTAATATGAAGCTTCATCTGGCATGATTTGATGTATAAACCAAAAGGCGAAGAACACTTTCTTTCTCGTCTCAAAAGGTTAGTTTTTATTTCAGAGCTTTTGTATACTTTCAGTCCTATTTGCTTGTATAGCTTATACTTGGAAATTGTTAGTACTACCTCCGTTTCTTATTATGTGCAACAAAGGGGTATTATTATTATGTGCAACAAAGGGGTATTATTTTGTTGTACATAATAAGAAACGGAGGTAGTACTTGTGGATGTGTTACAACTTGATACACATTTCACATAACCGACTCTTTTTAATGTTTTTACTTGGTGGACATCAGAATCAGTAGTAAGGCAATAAAAGAGTACCTGAATCTTACAAAAGTTTACACCTCAGAAACTGAACTTAATACTCAAGATTGTGACCCATCGGCTTCACGTCAGAAGGCTTCAACTCAGGCTGCATGTAAATCTTTATCTTCAACTGCCAAAAAATCCAACAAAACTAAGGCTACCTTTGGTGATATGTGTGAATATTTCATCCCTTGTCCTGTGCTCCCAGGAGGGCTTGTTTTGGCTCAAAGTATGTACTGTGCTAAAGTTTCTCTGTCATTTTTCAATTGCGAACATGGTACAAATTATAAGCTCATTGAACCACTGGCAAGTGCTCAGTACATGGTTTCTGGAGTCCGCTTTCACAGCAACTTCATTGTTGCCAAGCCTGAGAAGAATGCCAGACCAAAGCTGTTCTATGCCAACTTTCGGTGTAGGAATAAGAGAGTCTGTGATGTGCATTGCTGCATTGTTAATTGTAAGCTCTTTGATTACCTCAGATGAATTTAACATGCCATTGTTACCTGCTTTCTGCACATCTTACTTATGATTGGGTTTGATGGTTTTTCAGTTAAGAAAGCGACATTTGCGTGCCGTGGAGAATGCCCTCCAGTACTTGCTCACTGTGAGAAGCGTTATACTGAAGGTCGGTCAGTTGACAGATGCATTTATTTGTCAAAGGAATCGAAAGCTAGAAAAAATGAATTTTGTGCAAAAGCTGCACTGAATTTTTTTAACGAGAAGCATGGCACAAAGTATGGGCTAGTGGAATCTTTGGACAGTTTTATTGTCCCCATAAACCTTGGTACATATCGATTAGGTTGTAGGTTCAAGGCCAAGCTTGAGGAACCTAGTGCTGCTGATGCTGATGCTGATGCTGATGCTGATGCTTCTTCTCCAAAGCTTTTCGCGGCTGATTTGGTGATGTCTACTGGCTGGAAGGATGGACAATGTTACATTATCAATAGTAAGATTATTTACTAATTGTCTTTGGTCCTTTCCTATTGTGTTTGTCTACTTCGTATAAATCTCTCTCTTTTCCTTTTTTATTGCTTTGTATCAGCTGCTGAAGATCTGGACGATGATCCGATCTTGGTTTGGGCAACAGGGAACAGTTTAATGTTATTGTTAGAACTTATAACACTGCGATCAACTCTTGTAGTAAGTTTGCTGTGAATGTGATAGAGGAGAAGAGCATGTTTTTTTTTTAAAGACTGTCCCCCTTTGGGCTTTCTGTTAGTTTATACGAAGTACATTACAGTCCTGTGTTTGGTGTGATCTGTTCATGGTGTATGACCGGCCTTGGATATTAGTAATGGTGCATTGCATGCTTCTTATTTATATACCAAGTACATGTTGAAAACTTGAAAAAGGTGGGAGTTGTGGATTAGGTAGGTGGGCATGCAACAGTCCACCATGGTGATAGTTTGCCAGGAATGCTTATGCTTGCTGCAATTAAGAGTTGGTTATGTGGCTAGCAGAAGATTGCATTAGTTTTCTTAACATGCTAATCATGATAGTTAGTATGTGTTAGTTGAGACGAACACTACAAGCGGGAGGGGGGTGAATTGTATGTGAGTTCCTAGTGGATACTTTGTGGAATATAAAACAGAATGTAAAGGAATTTGTAATGCACACAGTATTTTACGAGGAAACCTTCTAGGGCCCAACTGGAAGTTAAACTTTGACTCTTCTTAAGGATTTTCAAAATCAAACCAATTCACTATAGTAGGGCAAACACATAAGTTACAACCTATTATACTCAGACCTTTAATTACAAAACTTGCTACACAGTAGGATCCTATCCTACCCAACCTAAGTCCCACACTTAGATTCACTCGTACTATGTGAGTACTACTTACTCAGCTTCACACTAGAAGCCTACACAACTGTATGCAAAGATATATTTCATACACTCACCCAACATCCCAACCAATACAAAATACTTAACACCTAGTATATGAAAGACAAGTTACGCATGAAACTCAAAACTAATATTTCCTCTGTTTTTTTTTTACTTGACCTGTTTCTTTTATCACACTTGCCAATGCAAAACTTTAACGATCAATAATTTTAATTCTCGATAAGTAAAAATTATAAAAGTTATATATTATGATACTACTTGTTGAGACGAATTTAAAAATATATTACATGAATATGTTTTTCTTTAAATATTATTCACAAAACACGGTCAAAGGAGGAGTGATGAATAGCGTAAAAGTCAAAGCGGGTCAAGTAAAAAAGAACGGAGGAAGTATGACAAAGTTATGAACTTGGCAAACTTACACAATTAAGCACAATTTGATTTCTTCACGCATAAACTCACAAAAAATAATGAAATGAGATTTCTACTATTTATACAAGACTAGCTCGTATAGAAAATAGGGTTTTCAAAAGATAAATATGTTAATTTAACCAAATCACAAAACACGGTTTTAAGTAAATCTATTTTAAAAGAAAATCTTTTTGAAAACTTATCAAAGATAAATAATCAATCGAATAACATATTTTGATAATATGTTTTTAAGAAGTAAATCTTTTTAGAAAATCTTTTCTCAAAAACTTACTTCCTCCATTTTTTAATACTTGCAACACTTCCCTAAAATGGAAATATCACAATATTTACAACACACTATAAATAAAAAGTTAAATTAGAGGACATATGTATTATTTTCCTTATTTAAAGCACATGACCTACTTAATTACACTCCTAACATCTACTCACCTCATTTTAAAGTGTATTATATCATGTGAACCCCACATATCTTAAATACCGTGAAAAAGTGTGTGTTGCAACTATTAAAAAACGGAGGAAGTATCTTTTTAAACTTTCCCTTTTTAATTAAGCTTGCCAAGCTTTTTGCCACGCTTCTAATAAATCTCACACGTAAACCTACTTATCACATTTACAACAAATCTAAAAGATAAAGACTTAACTAACTAAATTTGCTACGCCAGTATTCTGTATACCTAGGATACTTGGGCTTCACGCAGTCCAGGACTAAGTTCCTGCTGTCATTTGCACTCCAGTTCTGAACTGAAACTTTGCAGGCCAAGTTTTTCCAGAACTTGTTGTCTTCAACACAGACCCAAGTCAACCCTTTAACTTCTTGTCTTCAAGTTCCTGTTAGGGAACTTAGATAGTTCTTGTTAGATAACTCTTCTTCTATCTTGTTTAACTTTTCTTTGGAATCTCTTCATGTCTTCTTGGATTAGGTTACTCTTCCACTTCCAAGTCTACTTCGCCTGTTCTAGTCACAACACTAAGAAAAACTTTTATTAGTCGAAGTTTGCTTAAGTTTAAGTTCATCATCATCAAAACCTTTAAGCATCAACAATTTCCCCCTTTTTGATGATAACAAACTTAAACAAACTTCGAAGAAAAGTTAAAACAATAGAAGACCGTATTTTTGTATTTTTAGTTTATTGACAGAAAATAAAACACAACTTATTAAAAAAAAAGAAAAAAAAAAGAAATGCAAAACAAAAACAGAACATAAAAACAATCTAAATTACTGGCATCAATATCAGAAGAAATTTCTGATACTTTCTCAACTGGAACCCAGAACAACTTCACCCTCCAAGTTTGCTTCTTCTTTTCCCCCTTTTGGCATTATAAAAAAGTCATGTATTTTCAAGTTCTTAAGCATCTAGCCACAACCCTACAAGAAATTCATCGAGTGTGGGAAACTGAAGGCAGCGCTGCTAACTTCCCTTAAGTTAGTTTCACTCTCCTGCACAAGCTTTCATAACATACAAATAAACACATGTATACACAAGTCCAAAATATTCATTAAAAACAAAAGATAATCATCCTGCCAATTAGTTCAAAATTATTACAAGCCAAAAACCAAAAGTTCAAAAACTAAAATTGAAAATGTTCATGATAAACATCAAGAATGAAACAGGCTATGCTGGATTAGGCTGGGTACACTAGGTTGGAGATAAGCTGGGCTAAGTCTGTAGGAGCTAAAGAATCTTCTTGTTGTCCTCCTAGGTTTGTTTCATGTTTGTCTCCAGCTTGGTTTCAAGGCTCTTGATAGCCATTTGGAACTCAAGCTTCTGTGTCCTGAGGCTCTTCTCAAGTCCCTGAATTGTCTTCTCCAGCTTTTGAATCTTCCCTGTAGCTGTCTTAAGCTCCTTTTTTTCTATTTCAGCCCTGCCAAAAAGCTCAGCTACCTGTTGTGTTAACACATTGTCCTCATCATCGTCTAGTTCCAGTGGTTTCTCCATACTTGTATGTGGAGCAGAGCTAGATGACAACCTCATGTTCTTCCTCAAGGGTCCCTCTGGAACTTCTTTCTCCTTTTTCTTCCCACTAGCTGCCTTCTTCTCTTCCACTCTTCTAACAGTCTCATTCATTACCTCTAGGCTTATACCTAGTAGCTAGTGTCTCTCCATTGATTACATTCTCTGGTTTTTTCTCCAATCCACCATAGATTCCTTTGAGCTTCACCCCTAGTGACTCAAAGACAGTTGAAAGCACAGTCCTATAGCCCACTTTGTTCTTTCCAGGAACACAGTGTGCTAGATATTGATACATCAACGAAAGAAAATTTATCTTGATTCTCTTAGTTAGACAGAAGATGACAACCATATCCATCAAACATGCTTCACTCTTTCTGTGTTCTAGGCAGTATTAATTTTCTCACTAAATTAAACAACAATTTATTTAAAGGGCTCAGATCATTATGACTCATGATGTTCTTCCCCCTTTTGCCTCCCAGAAATTCAACAATATCACCTCCTAGGTAGTCACCTACCTTTACTGTAGATTTCCCCTTAATGTACATTTCAAAACCCTCAATAGGAACTTTCAGAATCGTTCCCAATCTTTCAACATCAAACTCAATTTTCTACTTGTTAATTATGCAAGAAAATTTCCCTTGTTTCACTGAAAATTTACTACAAAATTCATTCATTGCAGCACGATATAACACATTTTTAGACGCAGTAGACAAAAAGTATTCCCACCCCTGAAATCTAATAATATCAAGAAATTCAAAAAACCTAAACTTCTTACACCAAGACAAATCAAGTCTTTGACCAACTACATACTTATCGTCATGTACTTGCAGTGAGTTCCAATTGTTCATCTTCCTCTTCTTCGTCCTGAACCCTATTAAAAAAATCCTCAACTTTCCTGATGTGATCTTCGAGTGATTTTTCTTTTTCTTTCTTCTCTTTCTATTCTCTGACTCTTTGAAGCACATCTGAAGTAGAAACTTCTCCTTTTTCTCTCTTTCTCTCTTCTTCTTTCGAGGTTGAGGGTGTAGATTTAGGGTTTTCTGGAGCTTTGTTTTTGTTGGGAGAGGAATTGTAATTCACCATTGCTAGAGGAAAGGTTTCTTCTTGAATGGTTTTTTGGAGTGATGAGAATTTTCTGATGAACTTAGTTCAGTGATAATTGCCATGGTTTTCTAGGTGATGATGGTTTTTAAAGAGTTGATGGTTTTACTGAGTGGGTTAATTTGATTTGACAGTGGAGTGATAAGGTGGGTAAAAGATGTCTTTTATATTTAATGAAGCGGTGTGGGACAAATAAAGGGTAACACTATTTACCATTAATTAAACAAGTTCAATTTATTTTACAAAAATAAATAGGATGATTTTTGCCAAAAAAAAAATTCTTTCCAAATTCAAGTAATCTGTAAAAATACACTTTTTCAAAGAAATCAAATGTATTTGGAACACGCTTTCTACACATATACTACAAGAAAAATCTCTTTTCGTAGCGATTATACATTCGCTACAATATGCAAGTATGTTTGTGAAATAATGAAGGATGTCGTATCATTTTTACAATCGCTATGGTTTTCCCATATAAAATCGATACGGAAAACATAATAATACATATCCACACTATTTTTACACATTTATATAATATTGAGAAATCGTATCATTTACAATTGCCACTAAATCCTAAAAATCGATACGAAAAGCCTTTTCAACACTAGATATATAAATATTGTTTGACAAAGAATACATAAAATATGTCATAGCTTATTGGTGAAACATTTAATATAAGAGTTTGAGGTTGCATGTTCGAATCTTGTAAAGATCATACGCATGTTTTTTTTTTGTTGAAGAAAATGAGTTAAACATTTATAGCGATTTTAATCACTACAATAATCACCACGATTGGATGTAATATTTCGTATCGATTATTGAGGTCAACCCCAGCGATATTGAAAACCACTACTAAAGGCTAAGGCAACGGGGGATATTGTATCGAATGACCATTCGTTGGGAAAGCTTTTTGTTGCAATTACAATCGATACTAAAGGTTAAAATATTCGTTATGAAAAGGCTATTTTCTTGTAGTGATATCACTACAACAAATAATCACTTGTGCCACGAATTATGCCACAGAAATACAAAATTAGTGGCGTAAATTCACCTAGCCACGGGAAAAAAGAACAATGATACAACCTAAATAAGAAGAATAATTTATACCACGGGTATTATATTTCCGTGACAAAAATCATTCTTGTGCCACGAGTAATGCTTTGTCCGTGGCAAACCTTACATTTGTGCCACGAGTACCTTTTTTTTCCCATGGCAAGCTTTCCATTTGTGCCATGAGGAGCTCTTTACCCATGGCAAACTTTAAATTAAACTAGTGGCAGTGCGGCACAACCATGGGTGATAATTTTTTATGACAAGCATACACTTATGTCACAGTTTTCGCTACGAAATAAAATTTTTGTAGTTAGATCTAATCATTTCATGACAAAGGAATAAATCATAGCATACAATTACTTTACTAGGAATATTTACATGATAAAATCGATACCGGAATCACTTGCAACCGGAAAGGAAGCTCTTATCACTAAAAAATAATGTTAAAAAAATAAAATTATATACAAGTATATTTTTTTTGTAAAGAACTCCGTAAATTTTTAAAAAATACACATAAAAAAAAGGAAAATTTGCAATTATTAATACAACGGGCCAAAAGTTGTACTCCCTCTGTCCCCGAAAAAACGACCCATTTGGCCTAATTTTAGTCCTAAAAAGAATGACCTATTAGCATTAAAATACCCACCAATTTGCAACAATATTTGTGCAAAATCAGCTTCTCCATATAAATTTTGGTTTTTCCATATACTTTTATTACTATCTCTTTCTACTTTTTTATAAACCCTATATAAATTTATGTTTTCAATATACTTCCTCGGTTCTTTTTCACTTGACATGTTTCTTTTATCACATTTGCCAATGCAAAACTTTAGCGATCAATAACTTTAATTCTTCATAAGTAAAAATTATAAAAGTTGTATATTACGATAGTGCTTATTAAGACGAACTAAAAAAGATATCATATGAATATATTTTTCCTTACCTATCGAATACAAAAGACGGTCAAAGGAGAAATGGTAAATAGTGTAAAAGCCAAAGCGAGTCAAGTAAAAAAGAACGGAGGAAGTACTTTTACTTTTTTTTATTTAACTTTATTAATACCAGCGAAATCAATCCAAAAGGGTCGTTCTTTCGGGGACGGAAATAGTATTATTAATTGATTTTTTTTTTTTAAAAAAAAAAAAAAAAAAAAACAAAAGCAAAAAATGAGATCAGTCCAGCGATCCCCTCTCTAAGTCTTAACATTGTTCATTGAAGCGCACTCAACGTTCTCCATTGAGTCGGTTCCTATTCTCCATTGAAGCAGGTTCTAAGGTAAGATGTTACTTCCTTTTACTCATCATCCAATTTTAATTTCACAATCTAGGGTTTTATCATTCACAATTTAGGGTTCACTCTCCTCCTTTCTTACATTTCTATCGATCTTTTTTACTTGTTTTTGTTTGATGATTTAGGGTTTTTAGATTTTTTTTTTAATGATTAAATTCTTTATCTTTTGCCCCAAATCAAAGGATAACTTCGGCCAGATAGAGGGGGTGGCGAGCGACTACTCCGTCCGGCTTCCGGTGGTGTGGGCGGTGGCAGTATAGTTTAAGAAAGTATATAGTGCTTTTATGGAATATATTCCCTATTTTGTTAATCACCTAGACTTTTAGCTTCTAGTTGTGTATGATTTTCCTATTCTATGTTCCTAAGATATGCATAGAAACAATCTCAAAATTAGTGTAGCCTTAAGCAAGTAGGCATACGGAATAATCAAATTTGGTTCATGTAGCCGACCTCACTTATGCGATTAAGGCTTTAATTGATTGATTGATTGAAAGGCATATAGATAATAGATATACCGAATCGATCATTACTCGAACCAAATTGCTCATCCATTTTATACTCTCCTTTACTCACATAGTGCACTCGAACCACTGACACAAGGATTTTCAATCCTTTGCTCTAACTTGCTGAGCTACCTGAACCATGTAGTTGATCAATACACAGCCCTTGTATCCGACTATTTGTACACCTTTTGTTTAAAGAGAAGTTGATAAGCCGTATGCGGTGATTAAACCGAAAGGTCAAGATACCAACTTTAATGGTATCAGCTCATTTTGATCCTTTACTGATTTCCTCAGTCCCAGAGTTTTCATTATCTAGTTCCCAATCTGGTAGGTTTGGACTTATTTGTAGCCTTGCTCATTAATGTTACCATGAGTCCATGACTCTAGGGTCGATTGTATTAATTAGAATTCCTTTTATTGTCCTGCTTGTCTTGATGATATTTCCTCTTTACACTGCAGCCGAGAGTTGTGATTGGATGACCATCTTCAGTGGCTGTTAACAGAAATCTAACCCCATTTTCACCCCCATTTTCTAAAGGATGGCTTTGGTGGTGATCTGTGGGCAGCCGTGTAGTGGAAAATCAACTGCTGCAACATGCCTAGCTGAAGCTCTTAAAAACTCAGAGTCCACACTAAATGTCAGGATTATCGATGAAACTTTCTTTCACTTAGATCGCAACCAAGGTTACGCCAATATGACTGCTGAGAAGAATATAAGGGGGGTACTGAGGTCTGAAGTTGATAGATCTGTGTGTAAAGACAATATTATCATAGTAGACTCCTTGAATAGCATAAAAGGTTACCGATATGAGTTATGGTGTTTGGCACGTGCAGCAGGAGTAAGATATTGTGTATTATACTCTGATGTAGAAGAAACTGATTGTCGAAAATGGAATGAAGATCGCAAAGAAAAGGGTGAAGCAGCATATGATGAGAATGTCTTTGAAGATCTAGTGAGAAGGTTTGAGAAACCAGAAAGTAAAAATAGATGGGATTCTCCTTTGTTCGAGCTACAGCCATCCAAAGATCAGATAGAAAAATCATCGCCTGCCATTGTGGATGCTGTCTCATACTTAACAAAAAAGGTAGACTCAAAAACTAGGGATGTCAAAATTTTGCAGCCTACAATTGCTACGCAAAGTGGACGAACTTCTGAGGCAAATTCCCTGTATGAGATGGACCGGGCAACACTAGAGATAATGAACGCCATCGTAGCAGCACAATCTCAGGCACTTGGAGGACCCCTTAATGGAATTACCATTGGTCAGGGATTACCTACCATCAATATTCAAAGTGTAGTTGGATTACCTGAATTACGAAGACTTCGTAGAACATTTATAAAATTGACAGGGCAAACTAGCTTAAGTGGTCGCCCCCCTCCTGCTGATGCAGAAAGTGCAAAGAGGATGTTTGTGGATTATTTAAACCGTGAACTGGGAACCTAGTATACAACCATACGTTGGAAACGATCCTTCATACCAGAGCTTCATCTGCTGCACTCGTTATGAATCAGTTTACATGGTGCTCCTGAGAAGCCAAATATAGGTAAAAGTCGACTGTACCCTGTTGTAACATTGCTACATTATTTTGTTCCCTTGACAATTTTGATCAGCATATTTCTGTGATCTCTATGAAACGTATTTATTGCCAAAATAGTACTGTAATATTTGTTAGTGAACGTTACAAAAACTCAAGTATTAGGCAATGTTTCTCAGCTTTACAGGAATACACCGTACGTGCCAACGCTATTTATCCAAAAAGGAGTGTAATTATAAAGAGAGTAGCTAGTCCTCATTAATGAATGGTGCATGGAAGAGTGGTTCCATATTCCATGGCTATTGAGCATAGCACAATGGGCAACAATCCAAGCATAATGTGTACTATAGAATATTAACAATAGGTGTAACATTTTCGAACAAAAAATATTTTTTAGTAAATTAGTGTGATTTAATTATATTTGAAAACTTATAAAAACCACTAAATAGATACAAATGGTCTATTTTTAACATATATCACCATATTATACAAGTATCATGTGTTTAACGGTTCACAAATTCCCTTTAAAATTTGTGTGACAATTTCATTTTCCTTCTCTTTCCCTCATTCTTCAGTTTGTGAGATGCCTCTTCTATTTTTTTTTTTTTTTTTTTTTTTTTTTTTTTTAAGTAATTCCATATAAATCTACATATTATTTGTCTCAATTACAAGTTGTAACTTTTTGTTTGGAATTTACAAAATTCATAATCTAGTAGAAATCTGAGCTTGAACGAATCAATACACATGGCACTACTACAAATTTGGGGAAATGCATGTATAAGTCCAATATTAATTCATCGTTTAGTGAGAAATTTCTTCACATTTAGCCATTTATCCTAAATTCTTCAATATTCTAAGTTAACGAACACGTGATAACAAAGGTTTCAGTAGGTGAAATTTCCCTTCATATCTCTAAGTCTCTAACATTGCAATTTACAAGGACTTTCGTGATTGAACGGGTTGGAAGTTGGAACCACCCAAAATGGCTGAAGCATAAAAGCAAGAGGCCTTATCAATATAATACAAGTACTTCTTATCAATTAAAGAAATATAATATTTCAACTAACCCCACATGGCTTTTTTTTAATGATATTGAGATGTAGTTGCCATTATCATGCCATTCTTTATTAATCCAATAATAATACACCAAATACCAAATTATTTATTTATAATTTTTTTAACCACAAAAATATATAATTATAAAGGAACGTTTTGGGGTGTTAGATAAACATTTAAAGTATCACCTAAACTAGTATTAATTTGGGAAAACATGACAAAATCACGCGTTGATCGGTGTAATTAATGATAATTTTTAATTTAATATTTCTACTTTTAGCTAGTTTATCCAACGCCGAGGCGTTTGTTAGCTTTTGCTAATTATAAATAGTCAAATGTACACTCTCTTAAAGTTGCAACTAATTTGTAACGAATGAAGTAAATAAGATTGGATCCTTAATCTTAAACACATGCAATTGTAACCAACTGAATTGATTGATATCCTTATCTCCAAAGACTCCAAATTAGAACAGATTCGAGTTTATGTGTATGATAAACAAGTCTGTAAATCATGGGGATAAAAGTGTAACTTATGTGATGAAAATTGAGTAAAAACGCTACTTTTACTTCATGATAATTGATAACTGAAACTTATTTATCATAGAGATTAAAGTCCTGTTCACATTGAACTAAACAAAACTGAACCGAGCTGAACTAACTGAACTAAGGTGAATAGACCCTAACCAAGGCCGCCTCGTACACACTATATTTGCTTCCTCAATTTTGGTTAAAAAAATATAGTCAGTAATATTCAACGACTTTGTCTTTTAGTACGCAAGTGTCTTCTCTACTTGATCAACCCCTTTAAATTCCCAAAATTTGATTCTACGGCTTCAGTTTCCTGGATATTCTGCAAATCTTTGTTTTGTTTTGTTTTTTCTTTTTTTTTTTTTTTTTTTTTGAATTTTTTGCTGTGAAATTCTAGCAAAAGCTTCAACAATGACATCACACATTAATGGAGGAGATGAAGAATCACTCACTGAGCCACTTGTGAATCCCTCTAGGCGTCGATTCTCTCTCAACAACACCAATTCTCAACTTGCTCTTGTTGGTGTCAATGTTTGTCCAATTGAAAGTCTTGATTATGAGTATGTTTATCTAATTTTATGGGGTTTTAATTTCTGGGGTTTTGGCATAATTATAGAGGGTATTGGGTTTTTGGTTATTAGTATGATTGTTTGTAAAGATTGAATTTTTTTTGGTGGTTATTTGCAGAATTATTGAGAATGATTTTTTCAAGCAAGATTGGAGAAGTAGAGGGAAGGTTCAGATATATCAATACATGTTTATGAAATGGGCATTGTGTTTTCTTATTGGATTAATTGTCAGTCTAATAGGGTTCTTCCATAATCTTGGTATTGAGAATATAGCTGGGAAGAAATTTGTTATCACTTCCAATATGATGTTGTATAACAGGTTAATTTCTCTATCATTTACATTATACTAGTAATTGGTTTTAAGATTTGTGATTTTGGACTGTTTGATCAAATTTTTTACTGTAATGCTGTTGCTTTAATGTAGGCATTTGTCAGCATTTTTGGTGTTTACAGCTTGTAATCTTGGGTTAACTCTATTTGCATCATTGTTTACTGCACTTGTGTCGCCGGAGGCTGCTGGGTCAGGTATACCTGAAGTTAAGGCTTACTTGAATGGTGTGGATGCACCTGACATTTTTTCTCCAAGGACTTTGATAGTTAAGGTTAGAAAATTCACTAGGATTGATGCTAGATTGTTCAACTGAAGTAATTGTATTGATTTTGCATCACTCTTCATGAACATTTGAGCTATTTTGACATAAATGCAAATTAGATAATTTCTTGTTGATGCTTCATTTTGATATCTTGGAGGCATGTATGATGACTATTAGTCTGCAGTCTGCTACATATTCTGCATTGGAATATTGTATATTGCTTCAGCAAGAAGAAGCACCTTTTCCTTCAACCAATCAAGACTTGTGTGGTACCTAGTTAGTTTGGAAAGAATGTAAATGGAAATAGTTTCAACTTGTAGCATGCTCACATTGTATCTTGAATAATAAAAATTGAAGTGCATATTAGTCATAGTCTATTATTAGTGACTTGGGGAATAAGCTAGAGTTTGTTAGGAGAGTCTTTCTATATATAGACCTCATTAGGAGGAATAATCATCATGTTGAATATTGTTGAGAAGTCTGTTATTGACTTGTGGAGAGCACCTTCCTCTCCAAAGAAGGCATTGTATTGTTGAACAATCAGTTTGATAATACAACTTATCCCTCTTAGCTATCCTTTTCTGTCTAATTAGCTTGCTTACTTACTGTTCGGGAGCTAATTCCTAGCATGGTTCTACTTCACATTTTTTTTCTACGTAAACTCTATTTCCTTAAGCTTGTTATTAATGAGTTTGGACAGAGATATTACCTCTTTTTGAGGATAAAGCTAGGAATGTAGAGCTTACTTGGATTTGTGTGTATTTTCTGTTCAATATCACTTTTGGTTTTATATGGAACTTTTTTCTCACATAAAACATTTTTGTTACAGATTATTGGCAGCATCACTGCTGTTTCAGCTTCCCTTATGATTGGAAAAGCAGGCCCCATGGTGCACATGGCTTCATGTGTTGCTTCGTTGCTCGGTCAGGGTGGATCAAAGAAGTATGGTCTGACATGGAAATGGCTTCATTATTTCAAAAATGATCGAGATAGGAGAGATCTTGTAACATGTGGTACCGCTGCTGGAATTGCTGCCGCTTTCCGTGCTCCTGTTGGTGGTGTGTTATTTGCTTTGGAAGAAATGGCTTCTTGGTATTGTGGATACTTCTATTGTTCAGTTTCTTGAAACCCTCTTATCTTTTTGTTCTCTAATGTCAGTCCGTCTTACTTATCCCGTTATATAAGTGTACTTTAGTATCCAAGCTAGTATTATAACATGCTTTTCAATGTGGGCTAGATTCAGAGTTTCTAGATGATTATAAAGCCCTCAACTCTACTATACATTTCTCTACTTCACTTGGATGAGCATATTTTCAGATATTGGGGTTGCTTTTCTGACTAACTTTTCCTTATTATTCCAATCTTCAGGTGGAGAAGTGCACTCATGTGGAGAGCATTCTTTTGTACAGCAGTTGTTGCTATCATGCTTCGAAGTTTCATGGATTTGTGTTACAGTGGCAAGTGTGGACTCTTTGGTACTGGTGGTTTGATAATGTTTAATGTCACTAAAGAAAATGTGGTATACTACCTCAATGACGTGCCATATGTGCTGCTGCTTGGAGCCATAGGGGGCTTATTAGGAGCCTTGTATAATTTCATCCTAGAAAAGGTTCTTCGACTTTACAATTTTATTAACAGGTAAGTCCTGCTTGTTCTTACCAATAATTAAAACTAATATTGAAGACAGAAATTTGATTTTTGGTTATGGTTGATTTGATCATTTTAAAACTAAGGCTTTGTTGTTGTTGTTGACCTCCGTTTGATCTACATTTTCAGGAAAGGCATTGTATGCCAAATAATTCTTGCTTGTATAGTCTCTTTATTCACCTCCTGCCTTCTGTTTGGACTTCCATGGTTTGTAGCTTGCCAACCTTGTTCAGGTGATTCACCTGAGGCTTGTCCTACTATAGGCCGATCTGGTAACTACAAGAAATTCCAGTGTGCACCGGGACACTACAATGATCTTGCCAGTTTGATTTTCAACACAAATGATGATGCCATTCGAAACCTGTTTCGTCACAGCACCGATTCTGAATTTCATGGCACATCCATGCTTATATATTTTGTAACTTGCTTTTTCTTAAGCATTTTTAGCTATGCTATTGTGCTCCCTTCTGGTCTCTTCATACCTGTTATTGTGACGGGTGCATCGTTTGGGCGTTATGTTGGGATGTTGATTGGTTCAAAGTCAAGTCTGAACCATGGTCTCTTTGCTGTGCTGGGTGCTGCTTCATTTCTTGGAGGGTCTATGAGAATGACGGTCTCATTGTGTGTTATACTTCTTGAACTAACCAATAATCTGTTGCTACTGCCTCTTGTAATGTTAGTTCTACTTGTCTCTAAGACTGTGGCTGATAGTTTTAATGCCAATATATATGACATCATGATGAAGCTGAAGGGCTTCCCTTACCTAGAAACCCATGCTGAGCCATACATGAGGCAACTGAATGTAGCTGATGTAATTACTGAGCCACTTGAGTATTTCCGTGGGATCGAAAATGTAGGAAATATAGTTGATTCTCTTAAAAGATCAAGACACAACGGGTTTCCTGTGCTCAATGAACCAGAAGAATCTGCAAGTCCTGTTCTGTTCGGCTTAATCCTTCGAGCTCATCTTATTGTGTTGCTGAAGAAGAAAGCTTTTGTTCTTGCACCAGTGTCAGCTGGTGCTGATGTACTTGAGCAGTTCTCTTCTGTGGACTTTGCAAAAGGTGGGTCCAGCAGTATTGATGACATTGAAGATGTTGAATTTACAGACGAAGAATTGAAGATGTTTGTTGATCTTCGTCCATTTACAAATACTTCACCCTATACAGTTGTGGAGACGATGTCCCTAGCAAAGGCTCTTGTACTTTTCCGAGAAGTTGGTCTCAGGCACATGCTAGTGGTACCAACGACAGCTGATGTAAGTTGCTTGTTCTCCTCTTTGTCCCCACTTTCCCAGAGATTATATTTAGTGTATTATCGATTGTAGCTCCCCCCCCCCCCAAATGCCAGCCCACCAACAAAAAAAATACAAGCTTTTAAAAACCATCAATAAATATTTAAGCTAAAACCTCCATACTCAAATTGCATCATCCTTGCAGAAGATTTGAAAAGAAAACATCTTAATTACATAGTTGGTCCTTTCTATGGGGTACTTGGTCGAATTGCATATGTCCACTTCTTTTGGTGAACTTTTCACTTGTTACAACCCCCGTAGTGGGAAAACACTCCCCGTGGATGAGGGGACTAGGTAGGGCTCGCAAACATTGGAAAGTAGTCAGTTTTGCTAGGAAAAATATTGGTGAATATATGCTCTTTAAATTTCTCAGCTTAGTATGGGTCAAAAAATATTGGTCAAAAAAAAAAAAAAAATCTCAGCTTAGTAGCAGTTTTTTTAAGTCCCAGATATGTTTCCCATATCTCACTGTGCAATCAAATTTCTGTTGCTTATACTTCCTCCATCCTTAAATAGTTGTCATTATGTTAGTGTAATTTGAACTAGCAATTTCATGGCTGAATTAGACAGAGGATATGTTAACAAGAGATGATAGACGAATATCAATATTTCCCAATAAAAGAGCATAATGACCTTATGATCATCAGCTTGAACTTGTAGATTCCCATAAGCTTTATTTTGTATATTGGACTTTCATAAATGCTCAAAGTATAAACATCTTTAAGTTTCGTCTCTGCTGTGTCAAAGAAACATTCACTCTAACTTAACACTTCAGTAACTTCACAGTATAACAATCTTGTTTTCGCACCTGCATTGTATAAAAAGTATATTCATAATGTTATCATTTTTTGAAGTGCTAGGTATCCAGTAGTTAGATGTTTGCCCATTTTCTTTCGAAAAAAGTTAAACAACGAATTTTGATTATGGAGGATCCTTTCCTTGTGGTTCAACTGCATGTTCATTAGTTTGTCACAGTTTCCATCCAAAAACACGCTAAGTTGTAGCCTGGGACCATGTGACAACTAATCCCTTGGGCAAGAACTCAAAAATTGGGATGAATTGAATAGTTTCTGTTTATTACTACTTGTGTTCTAATGTTTTTAACTGAATTTTACGACTTGGTGCAGAGACCACCTGTTGTGGGGATGTTGACAAGACATGATTTTATGCCAGATCACATACTCAGTTTGCATCCTTCACTGGTGAATAAGAGGAAACGGTTAAGATTTCAGCTTACTCCCTTTGCGAAATTCTTTTAGGCATCATCTTCCATAAATTGGAAGACATCTTTTTTTGTTCAGATTTGTAGTTATAGATAGCTAGCTTAAGCGAAAACTTGTAATTCTCAGTATCTGTAGATTATCGACTCATTCCATGTGGTTGAAGGTAACCAAGGCTGGAATTGAACCTTAACGCTGCAGCCTTGATGGCTGGATGTGCATTTTTTGAAGGATGGAGAAAGATGTTTACAAGTTGTTGATCACTCATGGCATTTTTCTGGTTCCTTCTGAAGTTCTGATATTTTGTAAAGAGGAAATGCAAAGGGTTTTTTTAGTTTTGCATTCTTTTGATGGCCATTGTACTACTCATTATTCTTGATCATGGTAATGAATAGCAATACCACGTTCAACTGCTTTGTGCTGATTACATATTATATTAACTAAATGTTCATTTTCGTTGATGAAATCATTAATAAATAATACATAATGATAAATATAAGAAGTGAGGCTCATCTAAATAACAAGCTAGTAGTAGCTAACCATTGGAGCACAAATAATAATACGAGTAATACTTAATTTTTTTGTGTTGGTTTTGGCTACTTAGTATTTGTCTAAGCCGGGTTACATATAGATTTTGACTTCATTCTCTCTCCACTCCGTAAATAATATAAAATCGTGCAAAAGGTTATCAACTAACAAAAACAAGCTAAAGTAGTTTTATAAAACATTCAATCATTCATACAGAAGTTGTGTCAAATTACAAATGACCATTAAGTTTGCACCAAAAAAAAAAAAAAACATAAGGTATACAAAAAAATCCATATTTGTCAAAGTTTTGGCTACTTAGTATTTGTAGAAGCCGGGTTACATATAGATTTTGACTTCATTCTCTTTCGATCCTTAAATAATATAAAAATCGTGCAAAAGGTTATCAACTAATAAAAACAAACTAGAGTAGTTTTATAAAACATTCAATCATTCATAAAGAAGTTGTGTCAAATTACAAATGACCATTAGGTTTGCACCACCAAAAAAAAAAACAATAGGTATACAAAAAAACCCATATTTGTCGAAGTCGGGTTACATACAGATTTTGACCATTAGGCATACAAAAAAATGAGTAGCTTAGGTGCACCCTTTGTAATCGTTATTTTACATATTATCAGACACTAGAGGACTCTATTGAAGCAGCAAATTTCCATACTCGTATAATGTAACATAACATCCCAATGAATGGTACTTGTGTTTCGATAAATGTTGAAGCATACAGATCAAGCTACTTCTCACCATGAAGCAAATGTGTGAGAAGAGGGAATGCACCATTATACGTTGAAGTAGGAAGCATGAAAATCCCTCATCATCTACCCTCGTCTTGACCTCTGATACTCCATCCTCATAGCCCACAGCTGTTCCCCAACAGATTTCATATCTGGCCGATCAGCCTTTCCGGGTGCAGCACATTGAAATGCTAAACAAAAGATCTTCTTGAGTATTTCTACATCTACGCGTTCATTCATTAGTGGATCCACCAGCCTCAGCACATCACCTTCATTGTAGTTAAAGAAAGCCTGCAGAATGTTTTTTTAAAAGGTGTCATTTTTAGGATATTGGGATTTGCACATCTTCCACATAACATCCTGAGTTAATTTGGGGGGTGAGGGGGAAAGGGGGGTAGGGGGTCGGGATGAAGGGACACTTCAAAGATTTATGAGGTTGATAATTAACGCGAATATATGCAAAGGCAAGTTCCAGTTGTCAGTCAAACTATCACAGAACCAAAAGAATCTGGCAAGAAAAAAAAGAGGCTTACCCATCTGATGGTTACCCTCTCTTCAATAGGTCTTTTGGGTTCTACAGGACGACGTCCAGTCAGAATTTCTATAAGCAAAACCCCATAAGAGTAAACATCACTTTTTGGGGTGAGCTGATAGGTCTTCATATACTCTGGATCAAGATATCCGACAGTCCCTTTGACCTTGGTTGAAATATGAGTCTGCTCACCCTCAGCAGGACCAACTCTTGCAAATCCAAAATCGGCAACTTTGGCCTTTAAATTCTCATTCAAGAGAATGTTGGAAGACTTCACGTCTCTATGGATGATTTGTTTCTCTATAATGATCAGCAACCAACGATCAGAAATGAGAATGTTGCAAGGAAAAGAGAAATCAATGGACGGACATGACAAGCAATCTATAATGACCATACTACATGATGTGAACATGCAACAATATGATGCAGGACACACTGATTGATTGCATCTCTAAGACCACATTTTGAAAACCTAGAATAATTATCGGTATTTTACCCAACACCCCCCCCCCCCATCTAGAAAGAATTGTCAAGAACAGATCCGCTCGTTTGTTGATACCAGGTTTTTGCTTTGTAACATTCAAGTTCCCGAATTTGAAATCTAATAAATTAGATTAATTTGTATTTGTAGATGGACAGAAGAATGAGAAGATATATCCAATACAATATTCAACAAAAATACACATACACTTAAAATGAGCAGGTTCCACCAATTAGAATTGTTTCTTTATGTGCTTATATGATACACTATAGTTCTTTACTTCTTCTAAAGCATTTAACTTTAGCACAATTGAAGGGAAAACAAGATTTATAAATACAATGGTTTTTCTTACCTGAATATAGATGAAGATACGCTAAACCATGTGCAATGTCTATTGCAACCTCAAGACGCTGCTTAAAATCCAGAATTCTATCCCGCACACCTGTCAAATATAACATCTTAAACATGAGATTTACACTTCCAAGTAATGAATTTATGATGAAGTATCATATTCCTGAATTAATCTTACCATCCAGATGTTCTCTGAGAGTTCCATTTGAAACGTACTCGGTAACTATAAGCCGTTCATTTCCCTTGTCAACATATCCAAGCAGCCTGACCAGGCAGCGGTGCTCAATTTTTGATAGGATCTCGACTTCACTGTTGAATTCGGCAGAATCAAAGTGTTCCTGTGGCAAGGGAAAAAGCAAGTTCTTAAATTAGCTTACTGCCAGGATAAAGGGACATAACTAAACGTGGGAGCGTTCACAGTCATGGCCGATTAACCTAAGTTTACACTTTTGATAACATAAAAAAAAGTTGTATTCTGCTGCCAGGATAAAGGGCCAAAAGCACGTAAAAGTGCTTGTTGCTAAGACCATTTATTAAATTTACACTCTTCATAACAACACAAAAATAATTTTATTTAAAAAAAAAAAAAAAAATTACTCACTGCAAGGATAAAGGGGTAAGACTAAGTGAAAGTGCTTGTTGCCAGATTAATACACTAATTTTACACTCAATTCATAGCAACTGCAATATAATTCGGCGGAGGGCCAATGGAAAGAGACAGGCTGTTAGGCTTATATACTGAATTACATGACAGTAGAAAATTAGACATAACCAAACAAAGGGTTGCCTACAACACACATGCTTCCAAGGCGTTGCATTTAAAAATTTGAATGGTACAGTTTTGTCTCTTATTCGTTTAGGAATGGAAAATTCAAAGTGTAAAGAATAGACATGAAACTCAACCCATCAAATAACTTTATCCCAATAACTATAAGAGGCTCCTGCCTTGGGTTTTATGTACACCAATCGGCAATCCTTTCCCTTTACGATTATAGAGAGACTGTTTTAATTTGAACCTTAATCCAATAGATCAATACACAATAACCATCTTCTACTACATGCTTCCTCCGTCTTTTTTAGTTGCATCATGAGGGGGGAGGGGGGCCCTATGTGATGAGGAGATGAAAGAAAATTCACATCATCGATGTCAAATATTCCTTGTAATTTGCAAGGCATGCCAAGAAAGAACTTGAGGGTAATATCATATCCTCGCATCTATAACAAACTCTAAGGTATTCTTCGGGACTGTGGAGATCAAACTTTATCCCACTTCACTAATCCTATCCATATAATTGTCAGCTAAAATTTAGGAATGTTTGTCAAAGTTATACAACAAAATAATCAGACATGCATCAATCTCAAGTCTCAACCATCTTGATCTTTTGAGGTCATAAAAATTCACCTTAAAACCAGACATGTACTTAGTTACTACGTCTGAATTCAATGTGAGCAGAATTGTACTGTAAAATGAATTCTGACTTAAAATAAGTCATCTAAGTATCCTGTTTAAATTTTGCAGAGGTATATTCAAGTCCGAGGTACAATTATTTCTAGATTAAATTCCCAAGTTTTTTGTGGGGGTTGAGCCTCAAGAACAAGTTAATTCACAAAAAAGGCTTCTCAGTACATAATGCTGCAAGATATGGATTCATTAAAAATAAATAAATAAATTTTACAAAAAATTCTTGATTCCATACCTTTTTAGCTCTCTTTACAGCAATCCACTGTCCACCAGGTAGTTGGGCCTTGTATACGGTTCCAAAACCACCTTCACCAATCTTAAAGGATGATGAGAAACTATGTGTAGCCTTTACAATCTGACTGAAATTAAGATGAACTGATCCAAACCTATCGAGCCTTGGGGACATTGCATATCGAGGACTAGGCAGAGGGTGTCGCGATGGATTTGGACTGGATGGTGGAAATCGCGATGGGGAGGGACTAGGTGGTGCATGTCGCCATGGACTGGCAGTAACATTTTCTGGATTTGCCTCAAAGGAGGATGATAAGTCCACTGCAACAGAATCATCAACAGTCAGCCATCTGACAAACTTATAATGCTCTGTATTTCTTTTACAGTTAACAATAAACATAACATAGAAGATTATTTGAATCAGCATATGACATATACAAGCAAAGATGGAAACTTTTCAATATGTCATTGGGCATTGATTAGATACAAAACAATCCGGCAAGAAATACTTGGTGGTAATTTAGCCATCACAGATAATAAAAACTTACTTGCAGTTAAATCCCTATGCGAATCAGCAGAGTGAATATCCTTCTTCTTAGGATTACAGCATGGCCACATTAAAACACAGCCCAAAATTAGTACTCCAGGTGCAGCCATGGCCATAAGCTTTGAATAATGGTAGCCATTCTGGTCTTTTTGTAAATGAGCCGCAGGTGGTGTGGCTTCTTCTTCTTTTATTTCATCTCGGAGAAGTTTCCTTCCAGCCCCAGAGGAAACATCAACGGCAAAGACTTGCAGCCATTGAATACAAAATGATACGCATATGATGCATATCAGAATTTTTAATGTACAATGGCTACCCATACTTGGTGACCGCAACTTGTAATTGATTGCTTTTTCATACACTCATTTTAAATAAAAGAATGGATTTACAAACCACAATAGTCCCCAAAGCTCCACATATACACCTAACAACAATTTTAATAAAGAACCAAAAACACCAGTACAAAATCAGCTACTGGCAAGGTCAATGGAAATATACAGCAGGACAGCTACAGCTGAAATTGAATAGAAGGTCTCTCACTAGAGTATGCAATGCCCCCTCTTTTTAGTTAATCATTAAAGAGCCAAGATCTGCAGCTTGTTGCAGTAAAAAAAAAAAAAAAAAGCCAATTTACAGAGGAAATGGATGAAGATCGATGGCTGATGACTGTCGTTTACACCCACAATCTGATCTTTCTGCCGCGGGAGCTAAGCTGAGACCAAGAAACCCCAAAAAAGTCAGACTGCTAGGGGGAAACTTTGAAAAATAAGCTAAATTATATTGCAATATCTCAAAAGTAAGCAAAATCACATGTTAAAACAAATTATAATGGCTCAACAGCTCAATCATATAAAATCTAATGTTAATACAAACTATAATATCCTATTAAGAATACAGAATTTCATGTTACCCACTTGCTAAACATGTACACATAAGCAGCCAGACTGAAAACACCTTACATCAACCACCTCATTATAGTAAACACCCAACTTAATAATGCCTCATCATCACCTGCAAGCTAGAACAATAACAATGCCTCCGCCCCACGTGCCCGGCCCTCGAGATTAGCTAGGCCGGGCTTAATCAGCCAACAAACTCAATATAAACTAAAATAGATAACATTTTGAACTATAAAAAACCACCAGCTATAATTACAGGTATG